ACAAAAGTCTGAACAATGCACATTAAAATGCATTTTTTATGTTTAAAACGACTTCGCGTGTGTGTACGGCCGAATACGCACAGACAACCGCTTCTGTGTGAAGGGAGCCTTATGGACAATGCTTATAAATGCCAGCAGGAAAGGAGATGGCATTTGACTAGTATAAAGGAGGTGTATGTTGAACACACTCAGGTGAAGGGATTTTTGAGGTGGGCGTTATGTATGGAAATTATGTATGTCCCTAATGTGGTGACTTCGGCATGCTGCACTTTTGTGGACAGGTGAAGGTGTCCTGCCAAATAATGAAAAACAAGAAAAAACACACACGAGCGCCACAGTCTGATAGGTTGAAGTGTGAAGAAGTTACAACGTAGTACTATGTGAAAGGGATGTTCAGATACCAGTTCAGATACCTGTGCAGATACTTGGCATGTTCACAAGAACTACCAGGTTTGCAGCGGTAGCAGCTGGGGCCTAACTCTGGTGCTCCACCACTGTCCTAAAATCATTAGTCTGTATTGTTTTAGAAAAAAACAAAACAAACAAAAATGTATCAGTACTTGTATCTGTGAGTACTTGGACAAGTATCAGTACTTGTAGTTGAAAAAATGGTGTCGGAGCATCCCTTATATATATTTAAAAAAACAAATCATACATTAAAACAGGGATGCACAAATCCCAGGAGCTCCGTATGCTCCTTAAAAATGGCAGCTGCCTCCTAACTTTTGCATTTTTCTCTAGTCTAGTCTTAGAGCTGGAAAAGTATCTGTGCATGTACTTGTACCGAGTACAGTACTTGGTATCTGAACATCCTTGAGTGGGAACAATTTAAGTTAATCTCCAGGGGAAATGCTGTCAAGTGTATCGATGTGGATAATCAGGAACTGCCAGAAATGGGATAAACCATTTTTAAAAAAGACTGAAAACCTCAAACTAAAAGGACACTTGCATGGCGGTGTATGGGCAAAAACCCCTCTGTTGCTTAGTATTTATGTGGAGTAATGTGTAGGCTGCTATATTACATTCATATTTGTGTGAGTGGTTGATCTGGTTGAATGTGGGGGTACCATACTGTTTTAGACAGATCTTTCACATTTTTAATGGTAGATTGTAATGTGCTGTATCTTATGTTGTATGTTTGGATATTTTTTGATAAGATGACAAAAGTTTTGTGAGTTTTCTTTTGTTCTGATGTAGTAATTTAAATTCATATTTAAAGCTTGCACTGTGTTTTTTAGCTGACTCATACTTTTTTTGAGTCAAGCTATGTATGTGCATGAGACTATAAATATATAATTAAATAATTGTAAGAAGAACAGGCAGTGGATGTCATACTGTTTAGTGTTTAAAGGAATGGGTTACTTTAATTTGGCATGTTTACTTTTCACAATTTTTCAAGCTTTTTCCTATATATTATTGAATTTTCTCACATAAATAAAATTACATAATAAGAATTTAAATAGAAGAGTTTTCAGGCTGTTTATGGCACTACAAAACGTGACATCCATAATTATTTGTAATATAAGCCTCTAACGATTGTTAAAAATTTAGAAATTTTGTTCTCAGCTTTCAAAGGGCAATTTGTTTTTTTATTCTTCCATTTACCTGTGCAGCGCTACTTTAAAAATGCTCATTGAACTCTGGCGGAATCTGCTCACAGATGTTCATAAATTCTTTAGGTCTGTTAGGGTCTGAATGACTAGATCAGGAGTCCTAAAAACAGGGCTAGCTTACTCTCCTCCAGACTTTAGGAGGGGGCAGAATATAGCTACTGGGAGTAGAAAATGCCCCATCAGTGGGAATAAACTAATTTCTTAGTGGTCACTGGAAGGAGAAATAATTCCTCATTAGTATCAGTTGTATTAATAGTACACCATCATTGCTGTCAGTGGTAGAAATAATGCCGCATCATTGGTGTTATTGGGGGAATAGTGCCTTTTTTTTTTAAATGGGAGGAATGTTGTCAATGTGAGGAATAATGTTCCATCGTTGGTATTTGTGGGAGGAATAGTGCCTTATTGTTGTTCTCAATGGGAGGAATAGTGCCCCATCATTGATATCATTGGGAGGAATAGTGCCCTATAATTGTTTTCAATGGAAGAAACAGTGTCCCTTCATAGGTGGGGTCAGTTGGAGGAATTGTGCTCCATTATTGATGTCAATGGGAGGAATTGTGCCCAGCTTTGTTGTCAGTGGAAGAAATAATACTACATTTTTGGTGATAGTGGTAGGAATAATGCCTATTGTTGGTGTCAGTGGAAGGAATTGTGCCCCATCAATAATAAAAGTGGGAGGAGGTGTGGCCATCATTGGTGTGAGTGAGAGGAATTAGCCCCCATCCTTGTTGTCAGTGGGAGGAATAGTGCCCCATCATTTGTGCCAGTGGGAGAAATAGTGCCTCATTCCTGGTGTTAGTAGAAGGAATAGCACCCCATCATGTCATTGGGAGGAATCTTGCCCCAAGGACCAGATCAAGGTTAGGAAAGGACTGCATCTGGCCTCTGAGCCACAGTTTGAGGACCACTGTACTAGAGTGCATTGTGAAAATAATTGTAACTGTAGCATTAACACACCTTTGTTAGTATAATTATAATGAAATCTTAGTTAGATAGACTTTGAAATGTGTTTGTTGCAAGTGCAAGCAATTGTTCAGTTCACAGAAAGTAGCTGGAGAGGACAATCAAAGATGGCTTAGTCCTTCAAAAGGGAAAAGCAGATGAATGTATTGCCAGGTGAAGTACTGTGACCACTGAGAGGCAAAAAAGTTCACATAACATAGTGTGCATGAACCTAAACGGAAAAATATATCTGATGCTAGGTCCACTTTAACAACCAGTCAGCATATAACCTTTGAACTGCTGGAAGAGTACATGTGTATAGGGGTGGCTTTCAAGTTGTCCATCTATATTTTTATGCAGCTGTTCATTTTCATACGTAAAATGTTAATTTCCAGCATACGTTACTTTTATTTTTTATGCTTATTTCTGTTCTTGCTTCATCTCACAATAGAGATTACAATTATACCATATTGTGTTTAAGCAATACATGCCAACTTCCAGACTATTTATTTGTAGTCTGTTCAATTATTATTAGGGTAAATCCAGTAGAATTTGCCTTCCTGGATTTGCGTCCATCTGCTGCATATTCTCATATTCCTGGTATTTATTACCCCCCAGAAGTTTACAGCTCTTACAAGGTAATGTTACTGGGTCTTTAGTGAATGTCTGAGGAATATCATGGTTTAGCAGTTGCTACTTGTAATAGACTGCTGATCTTTGCAGATAGTAGAGTTTGCCAGGGTAGGCATATGCCTTGCCTGTTCAGAAAATATCTAAAAAAAAAAAAGGAAAGTAAAAGACAAAAAAAAAATCAAATTAAAAAGCCACTGAATAGTATGGTTGTTTGCAACAACATAAAAAAAAATATATAATGTCTGTAACCCTGCCTCATATGGGCCACATATTGATCCATGCAGATCAGTTCACTCTTTTCTAATGTTGTTTGCTACATGAAGCTATAATGAGATATAAAATGCATTGCAAAACATACTGCTATCAGTAGCCTCCAGATTCCGACCTCAACTGACCTCCTTATACCAAACAGAATTATAGATTTGAATGCCACAAAAGTCACTCCCAGGGTTTTATTACAGCAGAATAGTAAATTTTTATCATTGGAGATGATGAGAGATTCAGACAAACTTTACCAGCCAACCAGAGTGCTGTCCCAATGGTCATCAATAATTTGACACAATTGTGGGCACAACATAAATAGTCAAACTGTTGCACAGTTGTGTTTAAGCATTCGGATCAAGTGACTCATGTGAGTACATGAGTACTTAAATTATGCTTTACAAATTTTAAATTTTCTTTTCTTTTTTTGTTACTAGTTTCTATGTACAACTATTTTTTCTTCTGCTTTTTCTTCTTATATTTGCACATTTTTCATTTTAAAATCTTTAAAAAAAATACTGAAACGTTCAAGCGAACAATAAGCTTTACAAGCAACAACTACAGTCAGTAGTTTTCCAGTCGATACAGAATTTAACAACTTGCTGTTGAGAAAAGCACATTAATTATGATTTAATGGATTAAAGTATTGATTCACCACGGGGCAGACTCTAATTAACCTTCTTTCACTGTAGTGTTCTGAGCAGCCGATAGCAATAGCAGCATTTTGTGGGAAGGCCAAACTTTGTTTGTTTGTACTTGTGCCGCACTTTGGCTGTTGAAATGCCCTTCTACAGATGTGTCCTTGAACTGTTAAAAGGAATTTTTAGTACGTATAAAAAAAAAAAATACATAATTTAATTGCAATGTAAAGATGTGTACCATTCAATTATTTATTTATAAAAGGTTCAAAATGTTGGTCAAAAGGGCTGTTGAAAAATTTTAAAGGAGTTAATACAAAATCTAGTTAAGCAAGGCACATTTTACAAATTAACGTGATTCTAAAACCAGGAGTTAAATCCTAAAGAATTTTTTTTATCCCTTGCATCTCTTTGGCATGGGCTACATCACTAATGCCTAAGAGGTTAGGGAGTGGAAAAACAGTAATTGTAAGTAAAAGCAAAACATTTTTAACTAATGAATGCAAGATGATTTCATATCAGCATGCAGATCTGCACGCTGATGTGATTTTTAGTAAAAGGGGGTAAGGGTCCACTTTTAAGGCAATTATTATTCAGCGTCAATGTGTTTTAGCATTAGAAAAATAAACTATTATCTTGGCTGTATTTGTTGCAATATTTAAAGCCCAACTCTGGGCTACATGCTCTTTCATTTAGTAGAGTTCATTTATAGCTGCACTGATACTCTCTATGGGTTTCATTTATGCTTCACAATATTCAGGTCAACACAGTGAAACAGCACTTTGTACATTAGGCCTTATATGTATAATCTCTTTGATAATGATAACAACACATAAATATGTTTAAATAACTGATTACCTTTATCACCTGATCATCACTCTATTAATCTATTTTTCCTTTGGGTCAATAGGTGACCTGTACAGAGTTCATGGGAGAAAACACAGATGCCCCCGGCAGAGCAGTTTTGAGATACATGAGGACAATGAGGTAAGAACATTTCTACTTTTATTCTACAATGACCTCATGTTTTGGAGTATTGTTTGATGCTTCATTTACTACATACAACCATGTCTCAATCTGATTCAAGATGATGGTAAATAAAAATACATATTTTTTAATAAAGTAAAGCAAGCTGGGTATAGATACCCACTTCAGGGATACCCTGAGTCTTTTGTGCATTAACATTGTCTGATATTGTCAGCAGGAAAAATCTTTAGCTCATTTGCTTATTTAGCAGCTTATACTGAGCTGTTTAATGAAAGTTGAAATGTGATTGCTTTCCGTGGATGCACACCTCTTATCTTTGTGCAATGTTATTGTGAACAGAAGTCCAACTGATGCAGTATATTTTTACATGTCAAATAAACCATTTATAAAATGTACGTATTTATAGTGGCCCAGAACGTGCCATTAGGTACTGATACAGGTCTTGGCATGTGGCTTTCAGTACTTAAAAATATGTTTTATGAAAGCATTTCCTTACATGTCCCTTACCTAACCTAATGTAAAAGATTAGCCTACATTTTAAAGTAGATGTAAACCTTGACTGAATGACAATTAAGGGATCTATTTAAAAAAAGCATTGGTATGGCAAGACCACTGATTTAAAAAAACAAAACCACACACACAGTTATTTCCTTTTAATTCCTACACAAAACAAAATTGTATGGGGCTTTCTGTGATTAGAAGAAAAACCACAATAAGGTTGAGCCAGTTTAAAAGGAATTTACAAAACTGTTATTGACATAGAAAACATTAAAATATCCATGAACACCCATAAAAGCAAATCAGAATTGTGAGCAGAGGACTATCAAAGTCTTGAGGAGCAAAACTAAGTCGTTACATCTATTTATACAAAACCCTTATGGTATCAATCACTAGATGTTATAACGTGACTTCACCAGTGTTCAACAAATTACACCTTAGCGTTTGGAGGGAACCCCACGTGCGCTGCGGACAGGAAATACATCTATGTCAGTGTCATTCAACGAAGCTATAGGGTTGTTTTTTTTGGAACACTAGTTTTCTGTACTGTCAAGACATTGGCGGTGCACTTCTCCGGGTATCTACTTTTTCTTTGTGCCTGGGGGTTCTTTGTTGGGGTGGTAGCATCTCCTACTGGGTTTAAATAGATTATAAAATTATAAATGATAGATTATAAATTATTTTCCTAAGTACTTTTATTGTAATACAATACCTACAAATTACTTCACTCACCTTCGATGATGTGAAACGCGTTGAAGGTGGAATTTGCTGAGCACTGGTGGAATCATTTTATAACATCTAGTGGTTGATACCATATGGGTTTTGTATAAATAGATGTAACTAATTAGTCTTGCTCCTCAAGACTTTAATAATCCTCTGCTAACAATTGTGATTTGCTTGTATGGGTGTTCATGGATATTTTAATGTTAGCTATGACAATAAACGTTTTGTAAATTTTTTTGTTAAACTGGCTCAACTTATGGTCCCATTCACACCAGGGCTGTTCGGCTGCGCGGGTTTGGCGGCGCTGAATCACCAACATGAACGAGCCCATACATTGCTATGGAGACCGTTCATGCGACCGCGTGGCTCTGCACAATCGGAACTGCCTGTTGCCCGAAATGCTCCCTGCCCCTTTTTTCTGCGGTGATCAGCACGGTTTCCATATAAATTTCAATGGAACTAGGCTGATCAGCTCGGTTTTGAACTATGAGGTGAGTCCTTTTCACTCACCTCATAGTTCTAGCCGACCTGTGACAATGAGACTGTCACATGTCGGCTCAGTAGATCAGGAAGTGAGTGAACACATACCGGCGTTCGCTCACCTCTCGATCCTGTCACAGCTCTCTGCCGTGACAGGGGAGGGACTGGATTCCCCCTTCCCCGCTCCGATCCGCCAGCGCTGACTGGCAGAACGGACAGGGGAAGGGGCAGGTACAGCTGGCTCTGCCTCTAGGTAGGCAGAGCCAGCTATCACTCACGCAGCTGGGCGGATCCAGACATAATTGTTGGGATCCGCTTCAGCTGTGGCATCTCAGTATACCGCGAGCAGTAGCTTGCGGTATACTGTGCTTAGGGTGATGGGAGGACGCTAGTTTGTGTCCTCCCGTTACCCTAAGGAGAACTATGGGGAAAAGCCTTAACCCCATAGTTCTCCTTTAATTGCGTTTCAGCGCTGAAACACAATTAAAAAATCCCAAAACCAGCTAATCAGCTTGGTTCCATTGAAATTTATATGGAAACTGTGCTGATCACCGCAGAAAAAAAAATTGTGATTTTTCTTCTCATATCAGAAAGCCCCATACAATTTTGTTTTTGTGTATCCATTTTAATTAGACTGAGATGAGAATAGGTTTTTAGGAGACCTAATACTGTATTTATATTATATCCTTTTCATTCCTATCTCAAAAAAACAACAAAGATATTAAATGCCCTCTTATACAGTTTATCACTCGAACTGGTGTCCACATTGAAAGATTTTTCCCTCACCTCCTCTTACCAGAACAACTGTAAGCTTTTGGTTTGTACCAACTTTTTGGTGACTGTAGAGGATGAATTTCCCCAGCAAGATACAGATAGCAAAAAAAACCTCACAGGGGTAACACTTCCACTCATTAGCCAAAACAAGAAATAAAGGTTTTGGCTTTACATACCTTGAATATTCTAAATCCTTAACTGTAATTCTTAACTCTTAACCCAAGTATTTACCCTAACTATAACCTCTAATCTTAACCTAACTCTAAAGGAAACCACAATTACCTTGCTGAGCTTCAAAACACAGAAAGCTTCCTTTCCCATGTCAGACACAACTGCTTTGATGACTCTTTAATGATATTGTGCTTGAATATCAACTGTAATTAGCATGGGGTATTGATTGGGAATGTAATATTACTTTTGATAGGTGTTTTTTTTTTCCACAGGATATAGCCTCACAAAGCACCTGTAAAACACATGTCCTTGTCCTGGTCCTTCATGGTGGTAGTATTCTAGATACAGGAGGAGGCGACATCAGCAGCAAGGTGGCTGACGTCAACACCTTCAGCTCTGTATTTGAGAAAGTAACCAAAGCCCATTTCCCAGCAGCACTTGGACACATCTTGATGAAGCTGGTTCCTTGCCCTTCAATATGCTCTGAAGCCTTCTCGCTGGTTTACAAGTAAGATTTATATCACATTTTGTGATAGTCTTTTTTTCTATTAGATAATAGTTTGTTTTTTAATTAGATTAAAGTTTTTTTGGTTCATTATAGTTATAAATCACAAAAAAATGTAACATGGACACAGCAGGCATCTCAGTTTTCAAGAGAATAACAAGAGTTATAGGAAACAAGAAATACATCTGCAACATAAAAAAGATAAATTGTTACTGTAACATTGTACTTTATGTTGCTTGCAAAAACAAAGCAAAAAATAATTCTCCAATGGTAAGCACAAAGCTTTTATGAGGACATGAGAGAGAGAGAAAGAGAGAAAGAGAGAGAGAGAGAGAAAAAGAGAGAGAGAGAGAAAAAGAGAGAGAGAGAGAAAAAGTGAGAGAGAGAGAGTGTTCTATTAGTTTATTCATAGGGCATCATCTTTCCCTAAAGCTATAACTGATTAGATAATTTCCAATCTAATTCAGCTATGCCACTATACCATTTTGTAATAATGGAATATCAGGAAATCTGTTAGATTCTGAGCTGAACAATGTGCAACTATAATAATAAATATACGTTTAGTCGCTCATTTGTACTACTAAAATTTTGGCAATTTATTCCTTTGGGGGGCATTCAATCGCTTAACCGATTAACCAAATGGATCTGTAGCAATTAATTCCACATTATCACATACTGCTCTAATCTTTTGCAGTTGATCACTATACTACTTGTGCATCTTACACTAAAACGAGCAGATGCCCAATTTTGATGATTTACCACTTTAGTCACATAGCCATTTTCTCCGACTCCAGTTTATATAACATAGGAAAAAAATTTGGCCCAGAAAAGTAAAACAAAAGAAGCGACCTTTGATGCAGTACTCACCTACAGTCCCATGCTGTCCCCTGCAGTAATTCTTATCTGCCGCTAGATGTCAGTGGGTTGAAAGAAAGTGGATTGAATGGCATTGGCAATCATTCATCCCAAAAGACTGGTGACATCTAGCGGCAGATAAGATTTACTGCAGGGGACAGCATGGGACTGAAGCTGAGTACTGCATCAAAGTTCGCTTCTTTTGTTTTACTTTTCTGGGCTGAATATGTTTCCAATAGTTAGGTCATATTACACCTGCAGCAATTGCATCTTAGCAGAATGTGGTATAGTGGGGTGTGATTTTTATATTTAATTTGAAGAGAACTGGCTGAAGCTTGATACATTGCTGACTGTTTCCTAATTCAAAACTCTGTAACTATGTTTAATGTGTATTTTCAACTATGTAGATTGTTCAGAAATGCTGGATGTCTATAATGTTTATAAGAAATAACACTGTAGATTGCTGATCCAGGAAGTATACAATTACCTTTTAGGATACTAGCAGGGTGCTTTTGTCTTTTGTTTGAACTGAACGAGCATGTGTATTTTTTAACCTATGTATCTATCTAACTATAAGAAAGGGAAGATAGATCCCAGGAGCATTCTTGAGGTTTAACTCAATGAGTGAATGAATGATGCTTGAAAATCGTCAACTCTCTGTAATACATCATTTATATCTTTCAGGTGTATAACTGACTGATCCTGGCAGGGTTCCAAAATAATATCTAGAAATGTAGACATGGGTTCTGTGATAGAATTACAAGAAGATGCAATAGGCTGTTCTGGCAGATTCTTACCACACTGCTTTCTGTGGCAACTGCAGTAATACATCCTTAACACATTTCTTAGATATATAACCATTTTTAGCCCTCTGTCTAAGAGAGTCAAAAACATTTTGGTTATTCACAGTAGGGTCCCCTTTCATTGGCTCATAGATAAACCCATCATTCAGCCTCATGAATTCAGTCAGATCTCTTAGGCATCACCATTATATTACTCCCCCCCCCTTCCCCTCCCCTCTGTGCAGGTTTAACAACCTCATCTTTATGATTAATTAACCATTTCCATTACTTGTTTTATTGTTCTGTAAGATTACGAATTCCTTGTGGATATAAAATGGCTTTAACTTTGCTAACAATTTGGCTGTAAAAAGTATCTAATAGTGTATCTATGTAACTGTCCTTCCAGCACAACCACTTAACATAATTAAAAGAATGAGTCACATATGTTACCATAAATCACCATGAAAACATTGATTACACATGGAACAATATTACTATAAACTTCTGTTTATTTGTTAGATGCTTAAAATGAACATGAACTGTGAAAGGTTAGTGAAAATTTCCTCTAGACACTATATGAAATAATATTTAACCCATTAAGATTTAATAGCATGTTACCATAGTAACAGAGGACCACCATTGGACATATTTAGACCATTTCATGGTGCCATAGATGAGCTATGCTAAATAGGATTTATAAAGCAATACAAAGGAGAAGACAATTATGTATATTTAACATGTTAATGCTGTTCACTGAAAAACAGATTTAGGAGCATTGGGGGGGAGAGAGGATTTATTAAAACTAGAGCAGACAGAATCTAGAGCAGTTGCCCATAATAATCATCTTCTCTCTTCAGTTTGTTCAGTTCAGATAGAAGATGAATGGTTACTATGAACAACTACTCCAGATCCTGTCTGCTCCAGTGTTGATAAATTGCTCCCAATGTGACTTATTAATTCTCCAGGTACATGACACTTTAGGGGTTGTATTGATACCAAACCTCTGTTATTGACCTTAGTGGTGAGACAAGTTTTTTTACATGCTGACTTGTGAGTGTGCCATGATGCCTTTTTACTGTGTATTGATGAGCAGTCTCGGAAGATTGATAAGGGTTAATGTAGCAGCAGATTTATTTTACGCTGATTGGTGCCTGTTTTAGCAATGCTTGTGTCACTCTCCACACCTATCAGTAATAGGCTCTAATCCTCTTAGGGGCGCCTTTTAAAAGCAGTGGTATGGCTGCACCATGGCTGCACCATGGCTGCAGAAAACACCGTTTATGTAGCACAGCAATGTGCTTTGCCCTGCACTCCACTGCTTTTAGGACGCTGAAGTGGACACAGTGTAATGAAAAGGAATTAAAAATGTTAACAAATTGTTAACCGGTGGAGAGAATGATCACATGACCAGACACATTCACTCCTCCAATTACAGAGCTCTCTCTGCTACATTAAGCAAAGAGAACTCCATGGAGCAATGAAGTTTACACACTACAAGCTGCATTTTACGAATGTGTCATAAAATGCGGGCCATGGTATTTTAGACCCCTTAACGTATCTCTACAGGGGCAGGTCTCCTTCCAAGAATAATAGAGTAGAGTCTGTTTGCTTCGGAACTGCTTTGTTGTTTGTCTGCAATGTGGCTAACAAATCTTTCTTTTTCTAGTTGATAGAGTAACTTTACTAAAACAAAATGAAAGAGTAAATATAAATGTTTTATAGCAAAGACTACACAATTCTAATAATTTGACTGAATATGCATATTCTTGCAAATACCCAGTCATTTTTTTTCTTAATAACGTAATTTAAGATGAACTCCAGGCATTTTTATTTATACTTACATTGGTCCAGCTTGGCCCAATGTAATTTATATATTTATTTTTTTACCCGGTAGGGCCACAGGGATCCTGTAAACACTGCTGGAACCTATTTAGTAAACAGTGCAAGAAGCACTGAACAGTGCTCCCCTCACTGATACAAAATCTGTTGCAGCCTCTACTGGTATTCAGAGGTTTCAAACTCGAGTGTTCCACGGTTGTTCACCATTCAGTGGTTTAAGTGTTCATCAGGCATGCCACATAGAGGTTCTGGAACTTACTGGTTCCTGGGAAATTCCCATTCACGCCTCTAAATGATTACCTTGTGTGCTGATGCCTGAACAATACCCCCCTGAGAATAAGCTCCCAATCCTGTGATTCTGTTAGTTCCTGTTCCTGAGTTCCTGTTGGTGACTTGGGTTGCCCGTCACCAGAATACCTGCTGCCCAATCTGACCATTGCCTGTTTCTGACAATCCCTTTTAAATGCCAGTCTCAACCTCTCATCTGTCTGATCATAACTTTGCCTCATGATTTGGTACCATGATTGGTTTCTGCCAACTTTCAGCTGTTGCCATTCTGGCTGAATATTAGGGCAACGACCTGGGAGCTATTCACAGTACACTCCATTACACCTTGTAGGGTGCTCTGGGGAACACAGAACAGATCCTTAAGGTGCCCATACAGTTTACAACCATCGCAAGACCTTAGTCTTGCGATGGTTGCAAAGTAATTAAAAAAACGTACGATCTGCCCATCTTGGACAGGCAGATCGTACTTGCCTGGGGGGCAGGCTTCCGATGACTGCAATGCTGAACGGGCAGTGTGCGCGTGTGCACACAGGCCCGTTCAGCATTTGTCTCCCGAGCATCATTCAAACCAGCCGAAAATCGTAAGATTTTTGGCTGGTTTTCTAGCATGCTCCTTAGACAAAATACGTGTGACCGTACAGTAGAAACGGTCGCACGTCTTCATTCACACTGCACGATTCTCGTACGATCGCGGGATTTCCCGCGATTCTGGTATGAGAATCGTGCAGTGTATGGGCACCTTAAGACCAGTCTACATCCAGTGCAGAGGATCTACTATTTCCATGAGGGCACTTTACTAAACCAAGACTAGTACTGTTTAAGACTGATTCTGTTTGGTTGCTATTAGTAGTACACATTGCCCTTAGCACTCCACTAATTGCACTATTTACTGAGACAGCCCAACACTGTTCACTATGTATAAATTGTGTAGACTTTACAGGACTTTAGGGCCATAGCTACTGCATATAGGGGAGTGTATTAAAGCAATAATAGCTGTTAATTCCCCTGAACAAGTCTGTAATTTCCTTAGCACTGAAGAAATTCAAGTAGTCAACGGCTGGCATTTCTTCTAATGGCTCTAGCCAGCTTTTGTCTAATCCCAGCATGAATACTGGAAATAGGGCTCCATGCTTTTGTTCTGCAACTCTTGAAAACGAAATGAAAAAAAAAACCATTTCTATGAAACATGTACAAAGCAGAAAAAATACAGTCTATGACAGTGACTTTATTACCGAATGT